ACTTTATAGTAATTTACAAGCGGTATTTACTCTGTCCCCCCACTAGGACAAGATGTGACACAAGGTCTATTTTTAGGTGGGAACCCGAGCGCGTACAGCCGAGACAGGAATAAAAATTTCCCTCAGCCACCGCAACCGTTGGCTGCGCTGGCCTCGTTTCGAGCATCGATCCCTCCCTCTGGTGCAATAGGAGGGCGCGGCCTCGGGCAGCTGTTCCCCGGGGCTGGGCACCTCTCAATATTAATTTCCTCAGTTGCCTCTCTGTCCTTTGACAGAGAATCCCCTGAGCGCAATCTGTTCAAAGACAGAGACGCAACTGAGAGATGATAAGTAAACGTGAACATACTCAAATTGAGTAAGGTACACGCATATATATTATCTACTTCTCACCAGGTTTAACTAATTTGCATATTGATTAAAAAAAAGTATATTACATTAATTAATCTGTCCTTCCTTACAGTACTTTTATTCGAAGATTGCTTTGATTTTCATATAAAATCTGTTTAAGAAAATCCTCTTATTCAGTGCAGAAAAGTGTTTGAAATTTGCATTGTACTTCGCTTTCAACAAGTTGGCATCTATTTGTAAAACTTTCCTTAACTATAACAAGCCAATTTATGAATTGAATGTTCATTTAAAATTTTTCTTTCAAAATTTTTAAGTAGTGAATATATTTTATTTTGCGAAACGATAGCGAGCGGCGAAGCCTGTTCGTATGATATATAAGAAGTAGGACTGAAAACTACTAGACCTGACACACGACCACAAAAATAATCAAATTACAAAGAATTTTTAATATCTTCATGGGAGATCCGAGAGACATCACGAAATAATATTATTTCCAACAACTTTTCGCAAAGTTACGATGCATTTATCTCTTTATTGACAAACATATTTCACTATAGAATACAGAAGGAGAATGTGAGTGAAAATTATAAACAATGTTGTAAGTGACGCCGGTAAGCATCAATACAGGCTTGGATTATCCTTATTTTATCTCTGAACATCGCTATCAGTTGCTCTCTTGAAATAGATTAAATGAACACTGTTATTTCTCCTTTCATAATCAGCTGCTTTCTGTTTTTGTACCGTTACGTTTTGTCCGGCGGCCTTACGAGCAGTTCCAAGACCAATATCTTTCTTCTGCGCTAACTTTCGGAAATATTTCCTTGGACATTGCTGCATACTGTCAGGAATATTCAATAATTTCTCCTTGTATGGCTTTGCTGGCCTTCCACAACATTTGACATCTAGCACTGATCCTATTTCCCGAAATTTATCAACAAAGTTACAAACTGCATTGCGATGTAAAAAAAAATGTTTATCTGAAAATTCATCAGCTAAGCGGTTTCTCGAAATACATCTTCTTCACTTGTTAAAAGCATATTGGTGTGAAATCTGAAATGATTAGAAAAGCGCACAGTATGTTTACAAACTCCTTATATATCTATTTATTAAGAGCTGATTTTCTTTCTTATCCATTAATATAAGCTTTTGAGCCCCTGACGACCGCTTTATAGTTGGCAGAGAAAAATATCTGTTGAACAGTGGTAGAGAAAAATGACCTAATGTCCAGCCACCGGTTGAACGGTGGGTAAACACTTCTAACTATTTTTATATCTACCTAGAAAAATTACATACGAATTATTTGTGAATTTTGACTCAGGAGATCAGGCAGAAGGGTTAAAATTGTTCAGGAACGCAGGATTCAAACGGTTAAATTACAAACTTTTATTCAAATTTATTTATGATAGTGGTATTTACATTCAGATTTGTTGAACAGCATAAGGCATATCACCTTTTGTATCAGATCACCCTATATTTAAGTGAGCAAAAGTGAAGAAACAGATAGTTTTAAAGAAAATAACATTTAATATATGGTTGCATAACACTCGCTTGCAATAATTGTATTACACCTGTGTTGAAAGTTGACTAATGCATGGAATAATAATGCAACACAAAATGTACTTAGAACAAAATGTATTGAAACAAGAAAGTGTACACAATATTTACATATAGTCTTTTGTATATTCCTGGTAAGACCGTTCTTGGAGAATGTGTTGACTGAGTCGCAGTCGGGAAGAGTCTCTGGTTGAATCTCTTGATTCCTCCCTCTCTTCCCGGTACCAACCATATTTATATGGTCGGTACTCCACTATGCAAATTAGGTGGATCCTACCACAACAACCTGCGACACCAAACTTGCATTCTTCATTTGTGATGCTTTTCAAACTTTTAATGTTGCCTGTTTCAGTTCTTATTTGTTTCTTGGGATTTCTTCCTCTACTCTCCTCTTCAAGTGATGAAATGCATGCTCTATTAGGTTAAGGGCCGGTGATTGGCTTCATCGGTCTATCTTTCTCCACTTTTTTCCCTTTTGTTTTGTTGTTAGTATGTTTTGGTTCATTATCCTTTTGCATGATACCTCTACCCGATTAGTGTGGATGCATTTCTAGATAGATTGGGTTTCTCAGTTTCTGTAGACTTCTGAATTAATTCTGCTTCTACCATCATGGGTTATACCATCAATATATATGAATAAGGCTGTTCCGGATGCAGCCATGGAAGCCCAAGCCAAGACATTGCCTCCGCTGTTTTTCACAGATGAGCTTGCATGCTTTGCTTCATAAGAATATCATTTCATTCTTCACTATTTTGCCTTTCCATCACTTTAGTGGATATTAATATTAGTTTCCTCAGTCTATAAAAATTTCTTCCAGAATGTTTGTCATTCCTCTCCGTACTTTCTTACAAATTCCAATCTTGACGTCTGGTTCTTATTGCTGTGGTTTGTATCTTGTGGTTTGGCCTCTATATCTCTGATTTCGAAGTCTTCTTCGAAAGGTAGATTGCGCAACCATCACCTCTGCCCTGTTGAGGTCTTTAGTGATATCATTGATTTTTGTTTTGGGGTTTTTCCTTACACCTCTCACAATGTTTATGCCATAAACTTCTGTTGTTTTCATTGGCCGACCTGTTCTATGTCTGTTGCCCAGGACACCAGTAGTTTTTTTTCTTTTTCAGGGCTTTCGGGAAATTTTTTGTTTGCTATACCCAAAGTTTGTCCAACGTCTATGATCGATTTTCCTTCTTTTCCTAGCTTCAAAATGGCTTGCATTTCGCTCATAGACAAATCTCCCGTCTTTACATGATAAACTCAAGGTTAAAACTGAGAGTAGTCTGTTAGAGCTATCTAATGTTTTATAAATCGATCTAAAAACAACAACTGGACAAAAAGAATCACCTCTCAGTCACGTGTTGCAATAGTTTTGATAACTTAAAGAATGGGTGGGTTTAAACAAAATGTATGTCGTAAGTTATTTATCACGTCTAAATGTAAATCCGGGGAAATAATATAGGAACCAGTAATAAGGAGTGCCAGAGAATAACAATAATAACAAAAGTTGCAATATGAGCTCTGGTAAATAAATATGCAATGATAGCAAAAAATTGTAATATGAGCACTGGTAAAAATGGTTGCTGAGACATTAGTTTTATAATACCCAGAAATTCATACGCAGATGTCCTCAAGGACACATGGCACAGTGGATAAAGGCGTTGGTTAGATCCAGTGATAAGACCCAAAGAGTGTGAGTTCAATACCCAGTTAAGGCAGTTGAGAACTTAGAGAGGGGAATTAACAGCTTTTTAACTGACAGCTGACATCCATTAAACATGGCACGTGGAACTAGAACAGTCTTCCCCTGTGAGCAAAATAAAGGGTTCAGTTCGACAGCGGCAGAAACGTTGTAATAAATATGGCGACAAAGATGAGGACAATCGTCCGAATAATGGAAATAATGTACATAATACCTAATCTCAGAAATATAGACATATACCAGGAAATAAATTCTGAACTCTTGTCTTATATTCATCTTCTGATCGTAGACCAAAATGTCTTAAGTTAATTAATATTTGTATGCCAGCTTGATCAAAAAAAGAAAAAACTGCTTATAATTTTTTTTTTCTTGTTGATTATATGGTGTAATTAAGATTTGTTTGTTATCTGAAAAAAAAGAGATTTATTATTTTAGGATTCGCTTACTTTTTCGCAGTACTGTATATATTTATTAATCTCCGTATTAATATACTTGCAATATCTTCCAGTTTTACATAGGGGAAACATTTTCATATTGCATTCGTTCTTTAAATGATACGTTTGTGTGCATGTAAAATCATTAATTTGTGCATGCCATAAATATTTATTTAATATCGGTTTTGAAAACATCTATATTCATATTCGTGTAAAATTAGTCACCATTAAACAGCGAAAGTAATTGTATACTATATGTTTCTAGTAATCACAATATTCACGCACTTGTAAATCCCTCATATTTCTAAGGTATAAACATCTGGGTATCTCAGACTTTGGTTTTAATTATTACATTTATATGTCTGGAAAACCATTCATAAGAACATGCCTTAAATATCTATTTAATAGAGATTAGTTTTTATATAACGACATATATATAGTATTTGTAAAATCGTCACAATCACATAGCGTCAATATCTGTTTAAAATTTCGTATTTACATCTCGATATCGCAATCATATTTTACATATGTCTATGTACTTTTAAAATATTTCGTAAGTCCTTAGCATAAATCTTTACTTTATGTCACTATTAAGAAATCATTATATCCATTGTTTTTTCTAATATCAAATAGACGACATCAATACCTTTTTAAATCTTACATCACTTAAATAATTCATGTACGTAGATAAATATATTCATGTACGTTTCTTTTAAAAAAGTAAAAGAACTGATTAAATAAACGATTCATTTTGCTCGGGAGCTAATTTTGTCTAAATATAGGTAAATATTTTATTTGTATAGACCACTAAAACGACGAAGGGAATTAATCGCTTCTCAATTACTTAACTTGATTTACCTCCCTTTCCGCTACAAATGGGACAGGAAATATATATAAATTCACATTGGTAATTAATACTTCGTTTGATGATTTCTATTTATTTCATTTAATTCATTTTTTTCTTTAGTTTCCTCGACTTTTTCTCCTTTCTGTTTTGTTTTCTTTTTATTATTTCTCGTGCTTGCTTTTTTCCTTCATTCTTTGTTATTATTAATTATTTCTCTTGTTTGCAAATTTTGTCTCTATTTAATTTGTTGCATCTTTTTTCTTTCTGTTTGACCATTTCTTTCTTTGTTTTCTTCATTTCATTCATTGATTTTCTTCATTCATATTTTTCTTCAGTGTTTGTTTCTACTTTCTGCGTTCTCGTTGGCCTTTTGTTACGCTTTTATGTTTTCAGTTTTTGGTTTTCTTAATTCATAACAATTTTCTTTATTCGGTCCTTATATCTGTCTTTCTATCGTTTCTTTCTACACGCTTTTTTGCTGATTTTTTCCTTATGTGTTTTTGGTTCATTATCACTTCTGTTTCAGCTTGTTTTGTTTCTATTTGTTATTTTCATGTTTTATTTATATATATTCTCCTATTCTTTTAATTTTTATTTTTGTTTCAATCTTAGTCTTCATCTTATATTTATTTCTTTTTATAAAATTGGACCTTTTATTTTCATAGTCCTCCTTTCTTCCCGGATCTTCAATATTTCGTTCTTCTTCCTTTTTTTATGTTGTCGCCTTTACTCTTTCTTTCTTTCTTTCTTTCTTTCTTTCTTTCTGAAAGCGATCACTTTCATTTTTATTCTCTTTATTTTAGTGCATTCTCATTTTGGTTTCTTTCTTTCTTTCTTTCTTTCTTTCTTTCTTTCTTTCTTAAAGCTTCCACTCTCCTTTTTTTAGTATTTTCTTCATTTTACTTTCTTTCTTTCTTTTCTTCTTCCTTTCTTTCTTTCTTAAAGCTTCCACTCTCCTTTTTTTAGTATTCTCTTCATTTTACTTTCTTTCTTTCTTTCTTTTCTTCTTCCTTTCTTTCTTTCTTAAAGCTTCCACTCTCCTTTTTTTAGTATTCTCTTCATTTTACTTTCTTTCTTTCTTTCTTTTCTTCTTCCTTTCTTTCTTTCTTAAAGCTTCCACTCTCCTTTTTTTAGTATTCTCCTCATTTTACTTTCTTTCTTTCTTTCTTTTCTTCTTCCTTTCTTTCTTTCTTAAAGCTTCCACTCTCCTTTTTTTAGTATTCTCTTCATTTTACTTTCTTTTTCTTTCTTTCTTTTCTTCTTCCTTTCTTTTCTTTCTTAAAGCTTCCACTCTCCTTTTTTTTAGTATTCTCTTCATTTTACTTTCTTTCTTTCTTTCTTTTCTTCTTCCTTTCTTTCTTTCTTAAAGCTTCCACTCTCCTTTTTTTAGTATTCTCTTCATTTTACTTTCTTTCTTTTCTTCTTTCTTTCTTTCTTAAAACTTCCACTCTCCTTTTTTAGTATCCCCTTCATTTTTCTTTCTTTCTTTCTTAAAACTTCCACTCTCCTTTTTTAGTATCCCCTTCATTTTACTTTTTTTCTTTCTTTCTTTCTTTCTTTCTTTCTTTCTTTCTTTCTTTCTTTCTTTACCACTTTTTTTCAATCTTCGAATCTTTTCTAATTAGCTTTGTATTTTCTATTCTTTCCTTGTTTTCATATACTCCTCGGGTTAAATCTCGTTCTTCTTAACATTGTTTTTTTTTATGGCCTTTCAACCACTTCTCCAATTTCTAGCATTAAGCTCAACAAGTACGTGAGTAAAGAGTTAGAAAATCCTATTCAATTCCAAGTTGATACATTGAATCAACCAATACTTGGTACCACCCAGGACAGCAACAATACGGCAAAATTAATCTTTTTTTCCTATTGGGTTCTTATTCGATTTGAGGCACAATTAGACGACACCCCCTCCTTTTCCCCGACGGTAAACCTCTTTTTACTACTTCAACAATAACAGATAATCGTCCAGATGACAAAGCCACAGCGAATCCCCAAATGCTGCGAAAATCGCATCTCAAAGAAAGATCCAATGACGTGTGAATCATTCGCTCACGTGGCTTTCGCTGGGAAAAAGGAACCTGGATAGCACAAACAAGCATTACAATGAGTGAGGCGTTCAAGTCATCCATCTTTTGTGACGATACGCAAGGCAGATTGTCCGCAAAGGAAAAAAAAAAGAAGAAGAGAAAAACAACTCCTCGTAAATTGTCGTTGTTGTTCTGTTCAACGCCATTTCTTTCTAAAAGTGATTCTCATTTTTTTTTAACTTCTCACCACCTTAAAAGTTTTTTTTTCTTCTTTTCCGTTTTATTATCGTTTTTTTTTTCTTCTTTTTTTCGTCTCATAAAATTCACCGCTTAAATAGTTTCTGTCTATTTGTCAAATTGTCAGAGAAAGGAAGATACGGTCTTGATTCAAATGCCTGAGGTAAAAGGGCTGCCAAGTCGACAGCGAAGATGCGAAACTTTACAACGAGAAGCTTAAGTACCCTCTTTAAACGTCAATAGGAAAAAGAAAATTAAATCCCATCTTCCCATTGCGATTTCGTTCTTGTTTAGATGAATAGTGTCATAAAGTAGGCTCATATTTTACTAGAAATGCTGCAAGGTAAGTAATACGAAACTTATCTATTAAAATAAACAGATATTGAGTTAAAATCAGTATTATATAATTACTAGGTTACTCTTGCTTTAAAAATGAAAGACGGCTTATTTTGTTAATTCCCTTATTACGTTTTCGCATGTGAGTCTGATTATATTTTCCGTTTATTATATTAATATACGGGTGGACATTTGGTGTAACGGTCAGTCGTTGGGAGAGGATCATCGCTAGGTTTGAAGTTTTGAATTTTTTCCTCTCTGGTGGCAGTTACAATGTTCGAAGCAGAAAATATTTTCCAGAAACTGTACTGAAAATACCACGGACGAGACAAGCTTCGACGATATTTTAGAGTAAATCGAAACAAAACGGAAACTTATACTTAACATCAGGAAGAGACAGAGTTGATTCCTAGGACACATAGTGAGGGAAAGAAAACTTCGAAAATCAGACAGTCACAGGACAAACTGAAAGCATGAGGAACAGAGGAATGCAACGTATAACCTACTTAGTGAGCTTGGGTAAATGGATTTCGGAACAGGGTTTAGAGGAAATAAAAGAAAGAGGAAAATTAATAAGTGCTACAAGAGACAAGGAGCTGTGGAGAGAAATGGTCCTGAGGGGACATAGCACAAAAAGAAGAAGCAAAGTATCAAGGCAAGTTTCTTTATGAAAAAAAAAAAAAGCAATTTATTTTTTATTGGATACTGAATATTTTTCTAAGAGATAAATATGAGAGGCTTGCCGCAAATGTGTTATGTGTATACAGTTATACGCAGTCAATCGAAAATGATTGATTTGTTTTTTTTACATAGATATAAAGGGGGGGGGTGTTACAGTTTTTTGTGTATATATACTGTGTAACTAGTGAGTTAGTCAAAATGACTTAATTCCCTTTATAGTCTACCAATAGAAGGTTGACCAATCAGAAGCCGCAGAACATTGTATCCGTCGTGTATAAAGGCGGCCATCTTTGTTTAACCTACTGGAATGACCAGAGCCAACTTGTCAGGCGAACATGACAGACGGAAGAACTACGCTCTGCTACTTTGCTGCGATATCCACTTCGAACCTGAACTACGCTTTCCTACTGTCTCCGAAATATTCACTGCCAACCTCTGGATTCTATACTCGAAGACGACCGTCATGAATTTGTAACAGTTATATTAATCAATTCATAGCTGTGGAGAAGAGGTGCATTCATACGTTTCCAAAGGTATTGGCGCGTAAAGGAATATAATAAACCCGACTGGAATTGGAACATAGCTCTATGACCACCATTTCCGCGCCGTATTCTTTACACTGTCCGATCAACCAAACTTACACGGTTGATTGCCTGCGAATCCCAGGTGGTCATCCGTTTAGCTACTGACCAGGCTCGTCGTTGCTTAACTTCGGTAATCCCACCAGAACAAAAGAAAATGAAAACAATAGGAAATTCTCTACAAATATTTTAATGGTAATTATTGTGATGAGTTTTTCACCTTAGTGTTTCGACTATGTGAATTTAAGCGTACTCCTAGAATAACAATTGGATTGCAAAGATTTACATTTGAACTGGCTTGATACAACCGTCAATTCTATTCTAATAGTTTACTTTCTCGCACTTCCCATTTATTGCTTCGCTGCCACCTACAGTCTTCATATTCAGTCTTCCTGTATTTTGTTATCTTTTCTCATTTTCCTCACTTCTCATCAATAAAAGTCTTCTATATTTCACTCCCTGTACCCGCACCGCCTCTCCGTGGCATTCCTGGGGTGAAAGGAATAAAAAAAGGTATGAATGCATGCATTCGTCGCGTTGCAGCTCAGACCAGATACCAGTTTCCTTGACAGGGGGCAGTTTCTTGTAGTTAAACATTTGTGTCGGAAAAAATACCCATTGGCCAGATCATTACTCACGAGTGAAGAACAAAACATTTTCTAACAGTAAACCCGATTTTATTCTTACTGCTATAAATGAGCGAAGTAGGGCTGAGCTGTAAGTGATGTGAAGGAGTACAGTCCAGTGGCCGTCATCTATGTTATTCTGCGAGACCCGCTTTTTCATTCTGTTTTCCTCTTGACGGGATGGTTAGTTTTATGGACAACAGTTTTCTTTGTCCTGTCATCTTCGTCTAAAAAAGTAATTAACCTCCCTTCCGTGATTTTCTCTCAGTCTGAGTCTGAAGTTGACTCCAATTACTGATAGCCATCGATCGAAAGTAAATGTTCTGTACCGAGCTGTGCGACAAATCCAGCTGTTTTAAATTTAACAAAACCCCAGCTTGACTCATATTGCTGAAAGTTGCTAAAAAGCTAATTTACACATTTCATCTAATGGTAAGGGTGATATTTACGTTGATGCAACTATATATGCGGACGTAGGATAGGGAACGCTACGAATAATAAATTTACTTTTGCTTATATTTTTGCGTATATAATCTAGTTGATTACATTTAGGTTCTTTCTTTTATGTTTCCATCAATTTTTTTTTATCAAATTAAAAAGAATAATGAAACATTGAAAGAAACTTGGCGTCAATTTACTCTGGATGATCTAGCAGTAAAAGCGATTTCTAAACATTTTCTTCTTAGTAAATTGTGTTCCTTTTAACATTTCTTAAATCAAAATGGTATCCAGTCTCATTACGGTGAGCAACTAATGGATTTAGCGTGTTATTTCATAAATGGCCCCTTTTATGTAATATAATAATTCATTTAAATGACTTGAAGTTTCTCCTATTTAATGCTTCTGGCAATTGTTACAGGTTATAGAGTAAATTCATCCTTCAAATTTTAGCTTATTATATGGTTTTGTACTAATTAAATCTTTTATTGATTTAGGAGTTTTATGGGGTTTTCTACTCTGAGCTCAGATGTGGTACAAGGCTGAAAATATAGGATTTCTGGCGAGGGTTGAACTCACTATTCAGTCATAAGTGATTTAGTGAGACAAGCTTGCTAAACATTACACCAAATCGAAGTGCCCATAGCTTTCTGTTTTAAGTTGAGTTTAAACAAATTCTTTTCAATTGTAGTTGTGATGGAGTTAATGTGAAGAATGACATCTTCTGATTCTTTGGATTTGGCATGAAGGACCTCTTTTCTATTTTAAAATATTTTATGAGCCTATTGCTTTGCGTTGATGTGATATAATTAGTTTTACTGGATGCGCTTAAATGTATATTAGACGTTTTTCTACCTCTTCATGTAAATACTATAAATTCTGAATGTACGCAAATAGAATGCTAATTTACTTCTAATGAGAATAAAAAATTATGAGATCATTTTTATTAGATGACTTGCGATCGACACTAGTCTTAAGCTATTGATAGCACACACACACACACATATATATATATATATATATATATATATATATATATATATATATATATATATATATATATATATATATTGTTATCCATAGACAGACTGTTTCGCTGTATTACAACTCATCAATGTGGTTAGACTTCCAATCAATCCGGGATCGAAACCTAAATGAATTGGCATCAGTCGGAGATTTTACCACTGCGCTAACACCCGGAAGTGAAGGTGTCGTTTTTTGTGTACTTATTCTTCGAATAAACAGTCTAATGACCGAGTAGGCTCAATTCATAAAAGAGCATTGCAGTATTAGCAGTTATAGTCATTGTTTACATTGTTTACAAATTCGCGCTTTCTCCCAAGAGTGCTCGACCGGAATTGAATTATGTATATATATATATATATATATATATATATATATGTGTGTGTGTCCAAATATATATATATATATATATATATAT